AAAGGTTTTGCTCGTGTTTTTCCAGGAAAAGATGGGGATATAGGACCACATCCCAAGGTTGCCTAGCTCAACAGCTGTTAGCAATTAACACTGCCAAACTTTTTGGAAAATTCTTGTATACAACCACCAAATATTGCTTGTCCACATGTCTGTGTGCAAATTTGTGCATTTTGTTTAAAATATATATATACACACATATATATACACATATAATTCAAGATTTTACATATTGTTTTTATCTGTGCATACACTAATACTAGTCTTGATTCTAGTTTCTATTACTTTGTCCAGCTCATTCATTCAGCACATCAGTCTGAAGTTCTTTCATCTCCTCTTGAATCTTTTCAAAAAATTATTTCATTATCCACCTTCTCATTCTCTGGTAACAAAGCAGAGAATAAGGACAGATGTCAGCAACGCAAACAAAAAACTCAAATCTCAGCACGAAGTGAGTAACAACTAACCATTGCAACATTGCAAATCACAGATATTGCAGTATTACAGCTGGAAATGTACCTACCCATATAAGCCCCTGTCTAAATGGAACATATTTTAGGAAACGACTCATTTACATTGCCTAAAAATGACACTACAAAAATCAACAATTACAAGAGATGACAATCAAAATTAACATCATTATTTAATGCACATCTTGCCAAAGAACAAAAAGTGCAAGGAGTACCTAGGGCCAGTCAGCCTCCCTTCTGCTCCTGGAAAAGCGATGGAGCAGCTCATCCTGGATGTCCCTGCATATGAAGCATGAAGTGGTAATGAGGAGCAGTGAGCATGGATTCACAAAGGGTAAAAACATGCTTACACAACCTAACATCCTTCTGTACTAGGATAGCTGCCTGAGTAGATGAGGGGAGCCGTGGACGTTGTCTGCCCTGACTTCAGGAAGGCTTTTGACACTGTCTCCCATAACCTCCTCATAGGAAAGCTCGGTAAGCACGGGATAGATGACAGACAACTGAGGTGGATTGAGAACTGACTGAACAGCAGAGCTCAGAGGATTGTGATCAGCAGCACACAGTCTAATTGGAGGCCTGTAGCTACTGGTGACTTGGGGTCAATATTGAGGCCAATATTGTTCAATTTATTCATCGGTGACTTGGATGAAGGGACAGACTACACACTTAGCAGGTTTGTCGATGATACCAAACTGCGCGGAGTCACCGACACACTAGAAGGCTGCACTGCCATTCAGAGAGACCTGGACAGGCTGGAGAGATGGGCAGAGAGGAACCTCATGAAGGTTCAATAACGGCAAGTGCAGGGTCCTGCACCTAGGGAGGAATAACCCCAGGCACCAGTACAGGTTGAAGCTAACCTGCTGGATTGCAGTACTGCAGAGAAGGAATCCTGGTGGACAAGAATGTTTTTCAAAAGTAAAAGCATTACACAAGTTTAAAATACTTTTATGTTTTAAATAAAAATATATTTAAAACACTTAAGTACTACCCCTTTAAGCCACTTGTTATAGAAACTCTTAGAATAATTTAACTGAAGTTTTCTTTGGAAAGAAATAATGAATCTCTGTAAAAATGACAGTAACTGGGTCCCTATATGGAACTTTTCTACCCTTCTCCTGAGTGTGGAGAGCTATGTGCATGTGCATTCATCTCTAATACCGCCCCTAAATTGCCCCAATGGATCAATTTTGAACCATTTGATGCAAAGTGAAATAGGCTGTATTTATTTGTTCATTTTGTAAATTTACAAAATTTGAAGCTGCTCTACAAGAGCGGAATTTCTATAATTTGCATCTCGAGGCATCTAAGCAAACAAGGCCAATTGCCTTCTCAGGACCTTTTGGAATTTTAAAATCAGATGTGTAGCCTCCAGAGAGCCAGGAACTTCCCTGAACATTTTTTGATTTTGTTCCAAACAACCAAAAGGCATTGCATGTCAGAAATGCTGTGTATTCTGGTTGCAGACCTGTATTAGCGATATTGTCTCCTGGAAATTACTCTCTTTGGTAAGTTTGTATCTCATTTACTATTTGTACTGATCTATACTGGCTAAGAATGGCAAGAAAAGAACACATTGATAAGTTTCTCCTTAACAGTAATGCTGCCACAGAGATTGCATGCTGTCTTTTCCCAATTCTTGTTTTACTTGTTATACACAGAGATTTGAAGTTACTGCTGATTATCAGAAGGTGCATAAGACCAAGGCTATCTTTTATATCATAGCCTAAACCAGCTCAGTTCTTAAGAAAAAGATGAAGATACTCCCCGCAAAGAATCAAGAGCAGCCAATATTATATCCTTTCCATAAGACACACTCCCTCTAGCAGCATGCAGTAGACTTTACTTCCCTTTCCCTCTTACCCTTGCAGCTGAAGGGGGAAGGGGATGCTCAAGATTGATGGGAGGCTTTGGTAATGTCCCCCTATACTTGTGGATTTTGGTGTTAAAACTCAGAGGAAGAAAAAAAAAAAAAAAGCAGTAACACTGGAAGATGTGAACCATCTTGTCTGTCCAGAGACTCATTCATAGCTGTAAAGAACCCAAGACAAATTATCAATTATCAAAATTATCTATCTGATTATTTAGCATCAAGATACGAGGACAATTCTGTAGATTCAGATGGTGCAAGCAGTAATAACTGCTCTATACAAGTACCTAGAGAGAAAAAACAGCTTTGATTGCTCAGCTCATTGTTGCAGGCAACTGCATTCAAGTTTCCATTAAGCAGTTAGTTATTGGAGTGCATTAGGTATTATATGCTTTGTAACCACAGCATTTTCAAAGTGACCTCTTATGCAATCCACAAACTCCTAGAGAAACAAGAAGCAAAGCTAGAGTTTTACCATTTACTAAGGTATTTCAAAACACACATTGCATTTCCAGAACCTCTGCTGTAGTCTGATACATACAGCTGACATCTTAAAAGCAGGTTTCAAACAAAGTATTACTTATCGGACATGACTGAAATATGTTTTCTCGCACCTGTGCTAACTGCTTTGCAATGTAACAGATGCCGAAAGTCAGTAGATCAGAGGCTGCACGAGAATGTCACTGTAGCAGCAATGTGGTCTCCAGCATTACAGTTTTACAGTTCTCATTAGCATGTCTTCCACTGCCATATTCTAGCCTTTTATTCATCTAGTCAAAGTAGTAATTATCTGCTGCTACCCTGCATTTAAGAACTTAATTCTAGAAATCATCTGATAGCCACAGTATTAATAAGACTCAGTGAGTGCAATTGACACAGTGCAGGATACTTCAGTCATGCTAAAATGATCCCAGACTGTTAAAGCCACACTCTTGAAGGCTGCACAGTACAAAGGTATGATATTCTCACTGAATCTTTTACTCAGCAAAAAAATAATCCCATAAAGTTTTTGGCCTGGCTTTGATCAGATACACACTGCAGCAAGCTGTCTTTTACTACATAACTTTTAATTTTTTCTGAAGTGGTTCCCATTTAAGCTGTGTTCAAAAAATATAAAAATGAATACAAGGTAATTCTTCTACAGCACAAGATTTGTGGCAACTGCGGGGATTGCCAGCAGTATTACTTAAACAATGCCTGGGTATTTAATTACACTAACTATACACAAATTTGTATACCTTCAGGTGTGCACCTATGTGAACTGTCCAAGCTTCACTATTTATTTAAGCAAAATAGCCATTTGTGTTAACCTATAGTTTCTCATCTCTTCTCAGGTTTACATGACAACAAACTAATCTTAGAAATGCAAGTACTGATTTTCATTTCAACTCATGGTTGAGCTATATGATATTTAGCTGATGCTTTCTTCAGCTATTTATCACTGCTACCTTTGCTAAGCACCTTCATGTCACTTGGTCAACTAACTCACTCATTAAATTCAACAGTGGCAAACTCAAAGGTACTTAAATATAGTAATGTGTAGTTCAACTAAAAAGTATTGACAGCTCCCCGACCACACTCTTCACCACTCATGTTCATTGCACAGAAGACATTTTGCGAAGCAGGTTGCTCTGTGTGTTCTTGCTAAAAGCGTTCAAACATTCCTCAGTTTTGGAAAGCAGTACGGTCCTTTGAAGTCCACAATTCAAGGCTGTCCTCTGGGAAACAGCCCTAACAAAGCAGGATCAAGGGGGTCTGATAATCCACACACAACTTCGCAGTCAAAAGTGTTTATACAGCAGTCAGTAAGGTAAGACATGCACCTTCAGGGAAGTGCCTGGTCCAAACTATGATTTATTGCCATGTTTACAGGCATAAACTATTTGTTTACTACTTGATACAAGTGGATTTGCTCTCTTCATCAATAATATTCAAAGTAATATTTCAACTTGAATTATTTATCCACATCATAACACATACTGCAGCTGTTGCAATTCGCTATTACTAGCACAGATGGGTGACTAACTTTATTATTTTTCTTCAAGCTTACTAAACTCTAATTGCAAATTCAAAGCAGATTCAGCTGATATAACCACTATCTGCTGCAGTTCTGGCTGCTTTTAATGACAGAGCCTTTGCTTATCTGTTTCTGGCCTCAATCATGTCTGTTTACTAAACTGATTATTGGCCATGAGGCTAATCAGGCTTTTTTTTTTAAAAAAAAAAAAAAAGGCAGACCAATCTTTTTTCCTCTGTCTTTTCACTCCACTTAAAATAATAATAATAATAATAAAACTGTGATACACCAATATATCCCATTCTTTGAATAGAATCTGACAAAGATAAGGCTCTGTTTTAAAGATGTGCTTTTGCTCTTTCGTGTGTAAATGCCAATCACGATTTGGCCTTCACACTACCATTAAAAGAATCTGTTTTAAAAAAAAAAAAACAACGCTTAGGAAATATTAACATCACAACACAAGGAAAAACACGCAGTATGATGTTGATGTTCATTAATATGATATGCAAACTTCACCTTAACATTTACTAAAGATATCTGCATTTCTTTTAATCTTTTATTAAATCAGACTTGCAACTAGGGGGCATACAGGTAAATGCTATCAGACACAGAAGGGGACAGAACCACATCCTCAACTTACCTCTTTAATTTTATTCCTTTTTTCTCGGATGTCTGGGTCTGCTGGTTCTCCACTGTTTATCCCTATTAGATTTGGTAAAGGAACTGGGGGCAGTGGTCTGCTGTCTTTCTTTTTCAACTCTTGGACTACTTTGCTCTTTTCTGTCTGAATCTCAGCTTGAATCTCATCACGGGATTTCTTCAACTTCTCTTTAGCCTCTTCCAGGGCCTTTTCATGATCTGCTCGGATCTTATTTCTCAGGCGCTCCTCCTCCTCTCTAAAGAAACAAACACTAGTCAGAGTCTCATTTCTTAAAATGCATTGATTATAACACAACAAACACAAGCTTGAAAACAGAAGGTCCATTCTGATTTGGTTTATTCTAAGTAATTGTAATGATTCAAACAAGTTTATGGAAACATGCTAGTACACATATACACAATACTACTTTTTTCCACGAGTCCCAGCAGAAGAACCGTGTACACGTAAGCAACGGTATAGCAAGAAAAATTGTTTAAAGTTTATTTTAGATTATATCTCAGCCCTTGGTAAACACCGAAGCAAAGAAGGCATTCGGCAGTTCTGCTTTTTCTGTGTTATTTGTAACCAGGGTGCCCATCCCGTCCGCCAGCGGACCCACGTTTTCCCTGATCTTCCTTTTGCTGTTAATATATTTGAAGAAGTTTTTCTTGTTATTTTTAACATCCCTTGCCAGATTGAGTTCCAAACATGCCTTCGCTTTCCTTGTCGCATCTCTGCATTCCCTGACAACGTTCCTGTATTTTCCCCAGGGGGCCTGTCCTTTTTTCCACATTCTGTATATCGCCTTCCGCTTGAGCATTGCCACAAGCTCCCGGCTCATCCACGCAGGTCTCCTGCCCCCTCTGCCTGACTTCTTACACACAGGGATGCACTGTTGCTGGGTGTGGAGGAAGTGCTGCTTGAAAACTAACCAGCTCTCTTGGGCCCCTCTTCCTTCTAGAGCTCTAGCCCGTGGAATTCTACCGAGGAGGTCTCTGAAGAGGCTAAAGTTGGCCCTCCTGAAGTCCATTGTTGCAAGGCTACTTGCAGCCCTTGCCTCCTCCTCGTTGGATCCTGAACTCCACCAACTCATGGTCACTGCAGCCAAGGCTACCCTCCACCTTCACATCTCCTACAAGTCCCTCTCTATTTGTTAGCACAAGGTCCAGTAGCCCAACTCTCCTCGTCGGCTCCTCCACAACCTGCGTCAAAAAGTTATCATCAACGCACTGCAGGAACCTCCAGGACTGTTTGTGTCTGGCTGTGTTGTCCTTCCAGTTGATGTCAGGGTAGTTGACGTCCCCCAAGGGAAGCAGGGCCTCTGATCGTGAGGCAACATCCAGCTGACTATAGAAGGCCTCATCGACTTCCTCATGCTGGTCAGGTGGCTGTAGCAGACACCTACCACAGTGTCTCTCACATTAGCCTGCCCTTTAACCCTTACCCACAAGCTCTCAACTCAATCATCTACCCCCAGGTTGAGCAACTCCACCACCTCACCTTCCCAGTCTGTCCTTCCTAAAGAGCACAAAGCCTTCTACCACATCTCTGCGGTTCCAATGAGATCATGATGCTGGGACTGCACACTTGACTTCAAAAATTAGAGTAATGCCACTACCCATTGATATTTCAGCACCAGAAATACAATGCGAAGTTTTTTATGGTGTACTGACTAAAGGCTTTCAAACTGACTTTCTTCAGATTCACATTTCTCCAAAACAAGTATATAATATATGAAATACAAGCTCATTAGGACTGCAGAATAGCAGCAGTCCTCCTTTCCCTCAAGGGTAAAGCAATGAAACCTTTTTTAATCATGAAAATAGTATTATAAAAAGAAATGAAGTAACACTACTTAAGAAATTTTCTGTCGCTACCATGACCTACTGAGGAGAGGTTAAATGTGTTGTATTCCTGTAAAAGTTGTTTACATTGTAAGGCAGCAACAATGCACTGGTTTCAGTAAGAAAGGTAGATGAAAATTTTTTTCAGAAAAATCTGACACCACAGATCAGTAGTCTGGAGACTTTTTCCAAAGCTTGTACAGAGCTTTGCAGAATAGATTGCTAGACAGAATGAGAACAAGGTACCCAGAATTAGACATCGTTTCTCAGTCATGTTCTCACCAAAACAGATACGCTGTACAAAAGCCAAAGAGATAGTTTATAGAGAATGGAAAATAGGATGCATTATGGAATATGTAAAAAACACTTCAGTTTTGGGATATCAGATTCTGGTATTATGCCTCTCATTTCAAAACTCAATTTCCAGAGAAGCCAAGCCTCTACCGCCTGACTAGATGGTTTAAAAAAAAAAAAAAAGGAAAAAATCTATACTCCTAAAGGAATGATATCAATACCACACATTTCTCAGATGAGTCAGATGAGTTCCTAAGCACCCACACTCAAGTACTACCACATAAGCATACTTTTTAAGCAAATAAAAAGACTAATTTGTGACCAACTGAGACCAAAAAAATTCCACTCAAGTCCACATTGGAATACCGAATTAAATTCTACATCTTTCAGAAGTAGGGTCAGGAACAGCATGTAGGCAATCTCCATATGGATTAAACCTCATATGTTATGACTACATTTGGATATCCATAGATAGAATGAAAGAAAAGGGACCACAGAAAAGAGAAATCTAAGACCAGATACTGGTAACAATCCCAACATAAACACATACATCAAAACATGCCAAATATGCTGTTTTTCTATTCAACTGTCCCTACTTTATAGGTAATATAATCAGACACATTATAGAGCAGTTTGAGCAAATCTTCAAAAACCTCAACTAAAGCAAAACTGCTGCTCCATTCATACCACCCCAGCACCTTATTCTACAGTCTCAAGAGAAAACTGAGATGCAGGTACCAAGAGTTAACAACACTAGCTATTTTAAAACAAGCAGTATTATTAAAAGAATCTGTGATTAGACTGTTTTTGTCAGCAAGAAGCATAAAAAGATGCAATAATTAGTATTTGAAACTAGACAAATGCAAACTAGAAACAGTTTTCTAAGCCACTGAAATTAACTATTGCAGCTACCTGCGCAAGAACATTTGGCACTCAAAATCTCTCCAAGCAGTCCGGATGTAGTTCAGAAAAAGAGAACAAATTGTAAGGCTTGTTAGCAGAATCACTAGCTGAAATCTAACATGCTACAATTATGCATGAGGTAAAGACTCTTCAAAATTTAAGAAGAGTTACTAAAGCTTCTCTTGCCAGGGCAATGATTTTTAGTATTAGTCTCTTCTATCTGCTGTGATCCCACAGGCTCTGGTGAAACAGAACTGCCAAAAAAAATAAAAATAAATATAAAAATAACACTTTCCATAGAACTTGTTCATTAGATAGAACATGATGAAAAGTGGAAACAAGTATAAAAACTGAGCTAAGAAAAGAAATCTAGCCTAGCGTGTTCTCCCACACTTAAAATGTAGCACTAGGTCAAGCAAGGCAACAACTAGTTTATTACTATATGATTTTCTGCAGATGGTTAGGCAAGAACTGTTAAAACACATAAATATTTTGACAAGTCCATCATCCAGAAACAACCCCATAGACGGAAATGTGTTCATACAATGTAAGCACACTGGAAAATATCTGCTGCCCCTTTATTGCCCATAAAATTAACCAGAACTACAAATTCCTTCAGTGCTTTCTTTTAGAACTTGCTAGCAGGGTATTTCTAGTGGGTGATATTATTTGCAAAGGACATGAATGCCGCTTCTTCTACAGAAATAGGGACCACTAGAGACCGACTCTTAACTCAAGTGCTCTCTTCTCTTTCTCCCTCCAGGTTTAGAATTTTCTCCTCTTCTTGCCATTTCACTTTCTTTTGATCTTTCTTATGCTTCAGTCTCTTTTCTTCTTTCATTGTTCTTCTTACCAACTTATGCTCTGCTAACTTGCTTTCATGGTGTTCTAAAATGACACAGCTGCACTCCAAACAGCAATCCTTCTCACTTTTAGCATTAAATCTCTTTGGAAGGAGAGACCACAGAAGTCACTGACACAGGGAGTCTCTTAATCCTCAATTCCCCTGCTTAAATTCTTCTTCAAGTCAAATGGACTGTAAAAATTGACTTTTAGTCTTCCCCCCATCTCTTGTCCAATAAAAGACATTGCCTAGATTGCCTGCTGCCCAAGTGTTCTCTCCCACACTGTCTTATTACCAGAATTTGACTACATTATGTTTTTACAATCTTGCTCTGTTCATACCCACTCAGCAATGCTACTGAGAAGACAATCAGTTGCTTCGCTACATTCCCTTTATGACTGTTCTGCAAAACTATAAGTCATTATACATATCTGTATGCACAGTGGAAATAAAGTGTGGCCACTTTCAGGTTATGAATATGTTAAATTTACTAATTTTCATGTTGATCTGTAAAGAACACTATTTCTGCTCCCATATCTATCTGTACCCAGTCGTTTTCTTTTGTTTTGTAATTTAGGCAGGGACACTACTCCTGGGCAATCTTTTCGTTTTGTATTATTACCTGGTATAACAGGACTTTACTCAGCTAGAGCTCCTGAAAAAAAAGCCTTGGAATGAGGACAAACAAAACCCTTGAGGAACACAAGCAGAGAGAACTCTGAAAACACAGATTGAATGGGCACAGAGAGAGCTTGCACAGAGGGACAAAGAGTTGAAGCACATCCTTTATGCATGAATAGGAAAACCTACTGCAAGGCTAAAAGCTAAGAAACTCATTAGTGCTGCTAGATACCTTTTTTTAAAAAAGCATTGTGGAACATAACCAGAATCTTCATAAATCATGATAGTGCAATATATTCAAATATTTTATGAATAAGTATATTAATAAATGGTACATTTATGGTATAAGTACATTAATAAATGCTCTTGTATTTTATTGTACAATGAATATTCAAAAATAGCAAAACATACCTTCCAGTTAAGAGTAAGAAAGTACGGACTCCACAGATGAAACTATTCTAAGAAAAAAGCAGCATGGAGGCAACCTTTGCTCCATATTGTAAATGTTATAATGAAGAGAATAATTAGGAAAATCATCTGAAGATTCTGTCCAGTGCAGTCATCCTTTCCAAGGGCATTTGTTTCCCACTTTCCCCTACAGCAGCTATTCGTATAACTCCAAGCATCAGTTCAAAAAAGAAGAGGACATCACACCAGTCAATGGCTTTCTTAGGACCCAAAAGCCTCATCACAGCCTGCAGTCTTGGCTTAGTTCTGCTTCATAAAGACAGGCAGAGGTTTCTACAAACA